TCTGTAAGGGCCAAAATGGACGCTTCCGGGTGATCATAGGTCCTCTCACCCAGGTATGTCTCAGGCATCTTGCTGCTAGCACCATTTTCCCCATCGTTCACCTCCCCGTCAATGCGTTGAAGCTCCGCTGCAATGAAGTCATCTGTAAGTGCCACGAGAGGAGAGGTCATTTGTCCTTCTCCCTTTCTCGATCCCTCTTGTCTTTGCCACCTTTGTCTTTCTTGCCCTTGCCCTTGTTCTCGTCTGTCTTTTGCTTGCCTGAACTCTTGCTGTCGCTCTTTCCTCGAGAATAAATGCGCTGGCTGGCCTGCTTGTTCTTCAGCTCCTCCCGTAACTCTCGATTGGCAGACCTGCTCTCCTCGAGGTCGACGAGTTGGGAGGACTCCGCTGGTGTCAACTCTAGTTTTTGGGCCGATGCCCAGGAGGTGCCTCCTCCCAAGGCCTCCAAAAACGTGACGCTTTGAAGCAGTATGTCCAAACCCAGTGCTGCTTGCCCTTCGAGGAGAGCGTCCGCCGCTGAGCAGATGTTGAGGCTCTCCCTTGCGAGGGGCGGAGAAAGGCGCCCGGCCAGAACTTGCCTGTGGTATTGGAGACATATGGCAGGTAGAGCTCCTTCGCGAGGGGCAACTGGTAGACCTTGTGCTGTCAACAAATACTTTGACATGTTTTGTATCGTCTGACACGACAAGGCCCCTGGCCCTCTGACAGCTGCCCTCCGGATCTTGTGAGAGTCCTCGAAGAGCTCGTCGACCATGCTCCCCGATCGGCTGTCCCCGCTGCTGCTGCCCGTCGTCTCTTCGGACTCGTCTTTCTTTTTCCGCATGGCCTTGCGGGCCTTCTTCATGACTGCCCGTCGAATACTGGCGTCGGGGTCCAGGCCGGTGTACTGGAAAAGGTGTTTCAACTCCTTCTTTCCTTCCACCTTCCATGACTTGCCTTTTCTCTTCTTTTTCTTGTCTTTCTTTTTCTTTTTCTTCTTCTTCTTCTCCTTGCTGGAGTCCGTTGAGCTTGAACTGCCTGTAGATCCTGCTCCCCTCGCGGCCTCTTCCGCAGGAGCGCCAACTCCTTTTGCCCTTTGCCTCCCTGGCTTTCCGATCTGATTCTGCGGCCAACTTGCGCAGCACTTCGGCTTCGGCCGCCTCCTTCAAGTTGTGAGCCCATCCTGGAGTGTCCACTTCCAGCAATCTCAACCGCTTGACGTGAATCAGATCCTCGCTCTGTGGACTGTTGCTGCAATCGGCGCCGCAAAGGTGTCCTCGAAGCACACGATCTTCCTCGGCTGTCAGCCACTTGAGTAGCTGTTCGTCCGGGGTTCCGCTGACTCGGAATGACACTTCCATCTGCCCTGCCTTGATATGCCACTCCGACCAGCTCCACTGCAGCCTCTACTGGCCTGTCCCAGTAGAGGGCGTCCACGTTGAACTTCTTGCCGGGCTGCAGGTCTGTCACCGCCACTCCTCCAGCTTCTACCCATGCTCCCGATGCCAGGTCCTCTCTGGCAGGAGCCTCACCGAGTTCCGCAGCAGGCCTGGCTCTCACCCTCCTTCTCTCTCATCCACCGGCAACAGCTGCTGCAGGCCTTCTCTTCGGGGCCATTCAACCCCAGTTCACCAGCGCTTCTTGTACGCCAAGAACTCCTTGAAGTCGAGCTGTCGGCCAACCTTCTTCACACCTTTGTTGGTCCAATCAGGTCGAGCTCCACGATCAGCAGGCGGGTATCCTTTCCACCCCCTTCCGCGGCCTCTGCCTTTTGATGGTGGTGGATAATCTGGGCTCCTGGGCTTTCGTTGAATCGATCGACTAGGCCTCCGAGAGGGTCGAGGGTGAACTTCCGGATGAGCAGACGAAGACTGGCCCTCCCAGGCCCGTTCCAGATCGTCTTGGCCCCGATCACGACTGTCGTCTCGCGGCCTCCGTTCACTCTCCTCTTCTCTTCTTCTCCTCCTCCTTGACCTCGATCGTGTTCTCCGGGATCGCTTCTTGTCTCTGACACTGTCCGAACGAGGAGAGAGGTCCTCCTCTCTCTCCCTTTCGTCCTCGTCTATCTTCTCTTCCTCGGGCACTTGCTGTTCACTGTCCTCTTTCTCGAACTCCTCAACGCCCTCTTCCTCAGCTGGTTCTTTGACCTCAGACTTCACTCCACAAGCGGCTTTGGGTGCTGTGGTGCGGAGAGCAGCTTCCTCCGAATTGAAGGCGCTGTCTTCACTAACCTTCTTCTTGACCGGTGCTGGACGATCACTCTTTTCCTTTCGATGTCCAGATTCTCGATGTCCTCGATGGGTTTTTTCTTTCTTTTCCTTTGGTGCCTTTGTTACCTCTGTTGTTGCAGCTGACGCCTTGTTGTCTGTCCCTTCGTTCGGGATCTCTGCCTTTGCACTGGCCTCTGTAAACTCCCGTTCAGGTTCCACCTGAGGAGATACTCTCGCAGCTGGAGGTGCCGCTCCTGCCGCGTAGTACGAATCCCCCCAGTCGCACAGTTCGCCAGCTAACACTCGCAACCTGTCAGCTGCAAATGGCACGTATCCGGGTTTCGGCGAAAAATCCCGGATATGGTGGCAGACCCGACGAAGGGTCGTGCACACCCCGCACCTGCAATGGGCGGGGTGCCCCCACATCCAAAAAATGAGCCGGAGCTGCGGGGAGACACCATAAACCGGGTAATTCTCCTTTACTTACGGGGTCGAAACAGCATATATATTGTTGCATTTTATCTGGCATACATTCTGGCAATGTATCTGGGATCCTGGGATATATTATAATATTGATATATTATGGCATTCTATGTGGCACACAGTCTGACATTCTTTTCTGGCAGTCTATCTGGCATAAATTCAGGCGGTCTATGCGGCATAGTTTCTTAACATATGTTTTTTTTTTGACATCTCTTGTGGCACTCAGGCACTCTTTCCGGACAATATCCTGACAGTGTATGTGGCATATAAAAATTCTTGCGTTCTATCTAGCATACTTGTTGACATTCTTTCTGGCATTCTTCCTATCTGGTTCAGGTCCAGTGGTGCCCACTGCGATCTAGCACTAGCGGTGAATGTCCGGCTGTGCCCACTGCCATCTAACGCTCGCGGTTGAGGTCCGGCAGTGCCCACTGTGATCCACACTCACAGTAGCAGCAGTAGCACTTGTGGTTGAGGAGGACGCGGAGGAGGAGAAGGGGAAGGCAGGAGGAGGCGGAGGATGACCGAGACAGCCTGATAAAATCTAACAACCCTCACCTGGCAGGTGGGGAATTGTCAAATAATGATCTCATTATGCGAGGCAGGAAGTGCATTCATATCAAGAACATTCCTCCACGCAGGAACTTTCTTTAACAGTTTTCGTTGATGACGGTTGAGATAAGATATATATGTGCCTGAGAGACTGGCGCCGGCAAAGCATACCAAGACCAAATTGAACGGAACTGCTTGGTGGTGCATTTCTTTACAGGATCTGTCTCAACATACACCTCCATCAGGATCCCTCCGTAAAAACCAAGCCCTGGTAGATCCAGCTAAGTTCACTGCAGCAGTGCATGATGACGACTGGCAGACTCTTGCGATCCAACTGGGCCCCAGTAAAACCCATGTAAAACCCTCGATTCCACCACCCCTCCCACCAGAGTCACTCACTCGAAACCATCGGAAGGCACACCTCCTCCCTGAGGCGCTCGAGGAATCCCGGCATGGCAGCCCTCCGGTGATAATTCGGGGGTTCCACGCAAAGGGCAGCCAGGACTCGGATTCCGGACACGCTTGGTCCTGGGAGGGACGCGACACAACATGACACGCTTGTGTCAGGACGGGTCGGGTGTGGTTGTGGAACAAGCACCCCGGTCCACCTCGGGGGGGGGCCACTAGGGTGCCGAAGGTGCGGTGGAGTTGATGTTTGGTGGATAAGCTAAGCCCTGTGCAAGCTCAACAAGTTGCCCTGTGCAGCTCGCAAAACGAGCGCATACTAGCTTTTGGATGGAAAGCTTGAAAAGACACAAGGCAAGCCACCAGCTTGCGAGCAAACAGCAGCACCTATAGACACAAGTTAGGCAACTGACTTCGAGAACAGCAGGTTTAAGACAGTGGACATGCAAACACTGGTTGGCAAATGTTTGCAAAAGGGGTGCCAGCCAATGGGTATAGCTGACGGGGGGCTTCTAAACTGATTGACTAGAGTCTAAGAAAGCGTTGGAGGTCGAAGCATCTGTGCGTTCTGAACCAGGTACAGCCAGGTGGACAAAAGATGTCCAATAGCCTTGTTATACAGTACACATCATACACGTACCGTCAAGGTCTCCAAAGTATTGCCTTCACCGGTTCCGCGGAAAAGCAGGCCGCGCTCTCCTTCATGGACCTCTGGATAATTGCGCACATTGCGTAACATCCGTGGCTGCTCCAGCTCGGTGATCCGCTGGTCGAACCTCTGAATCAACTTCCTTGGACGAAGCGTCTGGAGAACATGCCATTCAAACCACATGCAATTGACTGAAGCCCCAACGCTCACTTTTCCACATGGTTTTAGTTGATTGCCACACGTTTGAAACGCATCTAATTATATCGCATGCCACACGTTTGAAACGCATGGCGCCGCGCCGGGCCCGCGCCCGACTCAACCGCTCCAAAGGTACCGAACCGATTCCGTGGCGGCGGCTCCCATGGCGAGTCAGTCGAGTCGTGCAGAAGCGGCGGTGCGGATCGTTGCCCCAAAATGGCTGCGGTGGACGAACGCCAGGTGCCCGGGTCACACGGGTGGAGTGGGGAGGTCGTTTTCCTTCCCACGGGTGCAGTGGGTTTCGACATGTTTTGGCCGTGATTCTCGGTCAATGTTCAAGGAGCGATCAAATGTCAAGTTCATATTTTCTGTGTCTGACAATGTCTGAGCCCGGCCAAAAGGGAACATCATGGGATACACCATGGGAGATGGACGCAATATCACCGGCCTAAAAAGAATAAAAAAGCCACCCGGCCCGGCGTTAAAAAAAAGAAACGAAAAACACCAAATGGCTGCCGAAACGCTCGGGCGTGGCGTGTCCGCAAAGCTTCTTGACCTCCTCCTCAGGTGCCCGGGATAGCGTTGGACCACGGAGTTGCCAGTCACTGCACGTCACTGCATGGTTTCAGCAACATGCCTTTGAACAAGGAAGGGCCCCGGTTGGCTGAAACAAGTTACTGAATTGAGTGAAGGGAAACCCATTAAACCTTGGATCTGTTTGAGCCACCTTTCAAGTCCGGTGCCACTGGCGGGTCCTTCCCTAGACACGGACCGTGCCCCAAATGGACCATGCCGAACACGATCTTCATCATGTTCCAAATTCCGCTGATAATTGTATTTCAGAAACACAACATATCCTGTTTATGTTGGTCTCTCAAAGCGCCACGGGCGTTTTTATAGCACCTCGAAAAAAAGTGCCTGGTTTCAACCTGGGGGAAGCATTGGAACCCCTGGTGCACCAGGCCCTCTGCAAAAGCCAGGCATCTTCCAAGAGCTTCCAGGTCTCCGGCTGCACCGGTGTCTCCTGCAGATCTGCAGCGGCTGCACGAAAGAAAAATGGTTGAACTGAACGTTCCACCTGTGGAATTTTGAAGTGGGATGCCCCCAAGGCCGGTGATCCACTTGTCCTCAGTAGGCGCACGGCTCAGCCCCACATGTAGTCAATGAATGTCACTCAAGCCTCACTTCATTGGAGATCTACTGTGCAACAGCAACCTAATAGCAATGGCCTCCCTAGTAGCAATGTCCTCCAACCTGCAAGCGATGGCAAAGGACATGCTTCATGAGGTCAAAGGTAGAGGGCCAAGTCTACTGGTCCTTTGGAACTGTAGGGGAGGATATTGGGGAGGATATCCTTCATATCATACTTGGCTTTGCTGTGCACCCCACTGGCGCCACTGGTGCTATGTGGGGACGATCCAGTAGGCTGCCTGGGACGGTACTTGGTCTTCTTCGGTCCCTTGATTCGCTGTGAACAGCCGAGGCAATTCCAACAGCTTCTTCATCCAACGTCCTGCCAACGGGGGGGGTCCAACATGATCGCTCCACACAGCGGCGCGTGGTTCCACGTGTTTCGGACCCGCCTCTCCTCACCCTCCTCGGCCATCTGAATGGCATCCAAGGGTTCCAACAAATGTGGGCTTGTGAACATGCCGACGCGAAAGCCAGCATGCCTCGCGGGTCCGCTGAAAAAACGCGTTGATGAACGGGGCGAAAGGCGAGCGAAATGCATGTTCGAAGCAGTGCGCGTTGATTTCGGGGCGAAAGAGCTGTGCCCTGTGAAGCACCACCACTTCTCAAGGCGCCAATTCAGACCTCTTGAGACCACATGGATCACCTCATGGTCTCTCGACCACATGGCGAGCTTCGTCCCGCCTGCAAACCGCGAAAAGCATGGCACACACCTCGGGTTGCTGCAGCCGAGCCGTCGGGGTGGACAATTCAAGCATGCTAAACCCTATAGGGCTCCAACTATACCTCTAAAGAAAATGGTTGAGGTGGGTTTGGGGGTTGAACCACCTTCTGAAGATATGGTTGGAGTTACCATTTTCTTACCAGCCAGGCCTTGCCCTCGATTCGAGGCTAACAGCCAACTAAATATATAATTGGGACTCGCCTTGGTAGAAGTCCTTGACTTTGGTAATGCAGCAATGTTCCTCTCATCCACCCACCCTGGCTTCTCTCGTCCCTCTCCCAACCCCACCCGAACCGCCACTCTGCGGTTTGGAACGGCTGCTTCGCCCGCTGCTGGTTCGAGCCAGGTGACACTGCCCTTGCCATTGGTGCCAGCCACATGAAGACATCGACCCCGCAGGTCCACTTCGGGCTGTCCCAGGCGCCTCAGCGCCTCCTTCACTCGCCCAACGCCGGGGTCGATCTCCCCCCGCATGGAGGGCGCGCGATCGCGCGAACGAAGGTGGTTTCCAACCACCGGGCGCAAGCGGATGCGTGAGGGTTTGGAGTGCGTGACGTGCACATGGGTTGGTGAGAAGGGACGATAAAGGAGCCTTAGAGAGAGGTCAGGGCTGGTGGTTGAGCTCGTACATCATCGGAAAATGTCAGCTAAGAGGTGAAGGCTATCCCACTAACTACAATATATAGTCTTCTTGAGCCGGTCTCTTGAGGAAGTTTACGTAGTACTCATGGATGCTGAATGCCGGCGGCACGCAATCTCTGAAGCCAACGCTAATTATGTTCAATTCAAATCCTGGCGGCAACCCTGTGCTGACTGAATCTGTCATTGGAGCCCTTAAAGATCCTTAAAGCAAATATTCAATGTTCAGCATGGTTCCAAAATGTTCCAAGCATACCGGTGAGATGAAGCACCGAAAGACTCATGGAATGCTGCTCAACTTGCAAGCTTTCTCCCGAGGCGGAGCACTCCCGTGCTCGTCATCCAGAAGTCGACGTCACACGCTTCAACCAAGCGCTTTCATTTTTCGTGCTCTGAATAATCTGCTTCATGCTGCGATAAGTCACCTGCTCCCCTCACTGGATGGGCCTCAGCCAGTCATCCTCAGTGTTGACAGCTTTGAAGTTGTCCAAATGGATGGCCTATACATTCGTTCTACTAAGGGGAGGATGACCACCTTCGACCACTATACTGTAGTACAGATACAGTAGTACATATAGAACCATATGACCACTATACTATATATAGTACATATATACTATAGTGGGTGTGTATTTTGTTACCGTAGTCGGGCCGGGAAGTTTGAGTAGGTGGTATGATTCGAGCGTATGATTCGGGTATTCGGGGGTATGATTCGCAGATGAATCGCAGCTTTGAAGTTGTATTGTTGGATTAGCTGGACTTCCAGCAGTGGGCCCACTCTGCGCCGAGGCAGTAGGCAAGCAGCATCTGTTGGATGCTGGGCAGACTAGGCAAATGCACTCTTCCACCAAAGGCTCCAGTGGCCCTCTGCAGGCCCCACCAAAACAACCAGGATGCGGGATGGGTGGGAGACTGTGTGGAGGTGCGTGATTCGGGTATGAATCGGGTGTGATTCGTATGGCCATTAGATTCTGCAAAAGAAGGTGGTCCTTTGGCTCTTCTTCCCAAGGGAGAGGACATGGGAACATTATGAGTACCCCTGGGATGTGAGCCTTTGCTCTTCCCACAGGAAGACACAAACAATTTTGGCCAAATTGAGTGCCAGTGGATCACACAATTGCAAACGTCGTGCACCATTGGCTCATGGACATCTACAAGGCACAAAGACCAACCAAAAACTTAACCTTAACACCTTGTTCTTACGTGTAACGTTTTGAGGGGTATGATTCGGGGGTATGATTCGAGGGTATGAATCGCTCAAGTCGAACTTCCAACCACTACATCAGGAAGTACACGCCAACAAAAATACAAACCCATATTATATATAACTGTAACCATCAGTCTCATCTCTCCGAGGTCCTCACATCAAACAGCTGAGATACCACCAGCGTAGGACCTAGGACCGGTCCAAAACAACATGTCAACCACCGATCCTCGTGCTCTCAATGGTTTGTGCTCTCGGGCTTGGTGGTCCAAGGATACTGGCAGAATATGTTTGAATCCTTGCTATCTGAGTACTGTGAAGGATCCATGGATCCAGGATGAGTTGGAACATGTTGGAAAGTCAACTGCTCCGTGTTCTTCAGCCACAAACCAGCTGCAGCCGTGGGTTGTCCCATCTCCTCTAACGACTGAGCTCCTCTAGGGCCGAAACACCCAGTAGTTGCCACGCTGCAAGGCTAGCTTCACCCCGCTCCTCAGGGGTATCAGGTTCCTGAGCGCCGAATAACATCCCCTTCTCACAGAGTTCTGGAAGGAGAAACTGGGTCTCAAGGCCTTTGACGAACTTAAACTAGAGCATGGGCCAATTGGAAAATCATGATTTAGGCATATTTAGGCTGAATGTTCGGCTTCCATTTTGGTGAATGTGCAACCGGCAACTGAACAAAACACACTATCAGGACGGGCAGCATTGGCATTTTGCGTTTCAAACGGAACATCTGTGGCACCACATGACATCCAGCACGGCTACTGCAACTCGGAACATAGCACGATGGAGGAGACCCAGGCAGTACAACCTCCGTGCTTTTAACCAAGGCAGCAGCCAGAAGTGCTCAGCACCAGACTGTTCTGCGTACTTTCCCAGAATCTCCCGAATCTCCCTGCAAATGACATGTTTCAGCCACAGCCAATTCGTGGCTTTCATATTGGAATTTGCATACATGCTTCAGGCAAGGCTTGCTGGTTCATGTGGCAAAGATTGGGGCTGAGGGTTGACCAAACTCCCCTACGATCTAGCAACCTTCTGCATTCGGCCTTCTTCTTGCACACACATGATTTCAACACCCACCGCTAAAAGCTACACCAAGCTTTGTGTCTCCATGCCTCATCCACACCACTCCATCCCAACTCTTGCTTCTGTGCTTCAGTGCCCGAAGCTCAACTCACACCAAGTCCCACTCCGAACCCGGCCGCACTGGCTCGGCTCGGCTCCTCCGCCCATCCCCCCCGCTTTTTGGCCGTCGCCGACCGGGACGGGTTTCGGCCCCAGGAGACCGGTCGCGGGACCAGAGCAGGTCGAGGGAGAAGGGCCATCGGATGGCCTCCGACTGCAGCTTGGAGGCTGGGAGCCCCAAGGCGGCACAGGTTTGGACGTGGACGTCCTAAGAGTCGGCGAGAGGTTAGGCTTGTGGAGTCCAAGGTTCGTCTTTGCAAGGCCATCCGATTGAGATGGAGGTGTATATTTTTTGTAGTGGGATGCGGCAATTCATGGCGTTCAGTGGGCAGTTGTTGCTGTTGGATGCTGTAGGTGTGGTATGGTGGGGTCATGAGGCTGAAAGTATGGTGTGGTATGGGTGTGGTATGCTTGCGATCCAATCGCTGAAAGTTGAATCTTGCTTGGTGAATGCCCCCGAACCTGCCACCCATACCGGACTCATACCTCCTTGATCCTGCCCTTGAACAAAGAAACCGTTTTTGGCATCCAAAACCTAGTCACTAGTCTATCTGCAATGCAGCTCCAGTACATAGCTAATAAGCTGCAAATTGAAACCTCCAAATCAACCGGGAAGGACGTGTGCACATTCTCCCGGGCAAAGCATGATTAAACACATATAGAGGAGGCACAGCATTCTGGTCCAAACTCCTCATGGGAGAATGAACAGTGTTTTCAAAACCCAGCAGTTTTATCAAAAAGAGCCTGTGCCAAGTTGATCTATGTAAAAAGATCAAAAACCAACGGAAGAAGTCCAGTGCCCCCAAATGAATAGAACAGTGATGATCATATACAACAATAACTATTTTTTAATACATAACACAAGTATGATCAATGATCAGTATGATTCAATGATCGTTGAAATCATTGAGGATATTGTCAAGTAGATGAAGTATATAAATGATCCGAACACAAAAACAAACACTTTACAGTGGTTTCAGAGTAGATGGCACAGACCCCAAGATGTCCTTTAGATGGGGATCCATATAAACCACCTTTTGGGGATTGTGCCATCTACTCTCAATCCACTTTAAACTTCTGTTGTCCAATCACGCTGCGATTCATGACGATTGGCTTGCCAGTGACTTCTTGACTTGAACACATCTCTCATTCAATGTCTTTTCGATCCACATTGATCCACGAACCACTCGCCAACCCCGGGCACTTTGATCGATATCTCGTTGGGTCCTGCTGGAGAGGTGAAGCTTGGGCGGGAAGCTGCCACACAGCGCGTTGAGCAGTGGCCTTCTCCAAGCGCGTCAGACTTTGGGCGACCTGCCATGCAGTGTCAAACGGTCACCACAAATCTCAGGAGAAAAGGCCTGCACAGTGGCAAGCCACTGTCCAAAAAGCAACAAAAAGGGTTTCTTTGCTCAGTCAAATGTGTGTCCAAATGGAGGTATTCACGGAGTTGCAGGAAGCAAACCAAGGGCTTCATGTGTTTTCCGTGCTACTAGGGACCCATCTTCCTATGCCAGCTGTGCATGTACAGCTGTATCTGTCCTTCGGCAAGACCCTGCACCGCTTGAAGCAGCATGAGGTCAAGTTTGCTGGTGCCATCCCCTGCGCCTTCTTTCACATCGACAACTGCAGGTTCCGCACTGGATACAGTGCTCCTCCGACTCTAGATAGACTCTCTGGAATCATTTTGAAAGTGGAGTGAAAACCACCTGTTTGTAGAGGATTTCATGGTCATCCTTTCGAGGCCCATCCGCTTTCCATAGTTATTTCGAGTGCATCAACCCCTGAAGGAATGTGAAAAGAACACGCTCCCCGAAGAACGGCATCCCACCTGCAAAGGGAAGGTGGAGCTTCCCAAGTAGACCAAAGCCACCAAACCAATGCGTACTTGAAGTGCCAAGCTTTGGGCACAAATCTCGCGAGCAGCGGCGTAGACCAGGAGCTCTTGCCTTGGAGTGCCGAGGCGCCGAGGCGCAAACAACATTTTCTAGCAGCCGAGAACACATTCTCAAGACTTTGAACATGGTTCGAGTTAACGGTCAACATTATTGGTATGTACAATCATCAGTCGGGAAGTGCAGCATGATACAGCTTTTGTGGGGGAAGCGTAGTCTCTGGGACTCTGGGAATATACGACACCTTTTAGACCTTCCTTCTTTGTCGTTCCGTTCAGGGCGTGTGGTTTTGTTGCTCATGGCCTGTAAGATTTCATTTCAGCAAAGAAAAGCACAGCACCGTGCCACACAGAGAGTGAAAACACGTTGCAAAACATCCTTTCAATTCTCAAGTCAATGCCCATTCTTGATCTGGTCTTCAATATGAATCCTGTTTTCAATATACCATCCACATCCAGGTGTTCACCTCCCAATCACCTTCCACAACAAACTTGCGATCCTTTCAGACCTCTCAGCAGCCCTTCCACTGGCAGGGTGCTGGAGGGTAGATTGTGGGATATAGTGAGAACACAAACGACTATAATCAAATAAACCACTACCAGCATGCTGTACCAGAAAGAAGAATCCTCTCACCACAAACCTGGATATTGCCAAGTCAGCACTTTGGGAGCGATCAGTTATGAATGAATTCGGACACCTGCCACCAGTTACAGTTATGATACGACGTTCGTTTCCCAGTCGCAGGTGGCGCTGGTTGAAATAGAAGGGATGCAGCAGCGCAAAGACCATCGATGCAAAGGCTTCATCGCACAAGTTCGCCAAAAGGCCATCCAGGGCAACACCGTAGACGTGTCCTGGGGAAACAAAGCGCCAAACCCGCCGACGTGAGAACTGTCATGGTAACCCCCAGGTTTTTTATCTGGTACATCCGCAGTTATATCAAGTTATATACACTCCTGCAGATTGGAACCTGAGAATTGACCGATGGTTTCGACCCTTTTCCATCGTGTTTCCTCTACAACCCTGTGTTTTCGGGGGGGTTCCATGTGGTCCTCTTCAGGTGGGTCATTGTCACAAGGACCAGATGATGCGAACGGGCGAACGGTTCGTTCAACGGGGCCCAGAATGGCATGTGGCATCAGTATGCCTATCAGTGGGGTCTGACTCGATTTGCGCAGCACATCGGTCACAGCTGCCCATCACCAACCGTGTTGCTCATCTTTCTCAAGTTGAAGTTGAAGTCTCACTAAACTGGATTCAACTTGAGCTTCTTTAAAACACCCTGGCACTTTTTTTCTCCCAAACTCCATCAGCCACCATCGGCATCCATCCGCCATCGTACCATCACCGTCAGCCCGTGCCAAGTGGCCAATGGCCACGCCCCGGTGATCCAGCTTCGCCGCCGCCAGGCACAGGCGCACCGCATTGGACCGCGAGACCAGCGCCGCGTCGCGCAGGCGCTGCGAGACCAGCGCCCAGTAGGGCTGGCTGGGACGCACCGAGAGCTTGGCGAAGGCGTGGAGAAGTAAGATGACGTGGTCTAAAGAACAATCGGTCCTCAAGGATCAACGGCTCCCAGCAAAGGAGTGTGCAAAAGGCAAAGCGCAAGACGGAGTAGAAAGGGATTAAATTCTGATTTGGGATCACTCAAGCAAGTCTACACAAAGTTGGCAGTCACACCCGACATCACCCAAGCGCTGTTGGTGCGTGGTTCGCTGAACATTGACTAGCAGGTGGTTCGGAGCAAAGGTGAGCGAAGCTGGCGAATCCAAGAAATTGGGAACCATGAGTCAATTTGTCCAGTACCACACCCAATTGTAGGTTGGAGGCCATCACTATTAGGTTGGGAAAACTTAGAAATCGGTTCCAACGGAGCACTTCCATCTCACGAGTACTCTACCTACCAAGTGGATTTGGGTGGCTACCTTTTTGGGCAAAACCATAGCGCACAGCATCTTAAAAAAAAGAATCCACGTGGCCTCATGCACAAAGGCTCAATATTTGATGGAACACCTACTTACTTCACATGAAAATCAAGCACCCTCTGCAAGACTCCCGGCGCATTTAAGAATCGATTTTAGTTTGGTGAACATGTTTGCAGGTTGCTGGCAATGCACCAGTCTAACAAATGGGTTGGAAGAACTTGAAGAACATGAGCATCAACAGCTGCTCCAAAAGCAGGCTCTCACAAAGTGCTTTCAATAAGTGACACAAAGGAGTTGATTCTTTTCCGGATTTCTGCCGAGGCACCTGAGGCCAGGATTCTTCTGAGGACACAGGTGGTCCAAAATCACCTTGGATTTAAACCAGGTGGAGCACATGTCATTTCCAAAGGCTAGCAAGCCCATGTGGCGTCCCTCTCCTTGCGTCCCAATGGCCAAAGCCAAATCTTGAGACATTGCAAAGTTCAGCTGAAGCCGTGCCATGCAATGCACCATGATGCAAAGCTCGGCAGTGGGGCAGTTGCTGAAGGTGGCCTAAGGGACAATGGAGGCACACAAACAACAGGGCACAAGCGGCTCAAGCTTAGCTTCAGTTCTTTTTATAGTGAGACCATGTGGGACACCTATCAGAATTCTTCAATCCAATTATATAGCCCACAATGTGGAACATATTTCAAACCTTGGCAAACCCAAGCAGTGCAAACAACTACTGTTTCTCTTATGATAGTGTCGGTTTCCTTCCTGTTGGGACCATTTGCGCCTCAATGGCCTTCATCAACTCCTCCCCCACTCCGCCCACGCCACCGCTCAAGCCGCCACTCCGGCGTGCAGAGGCGACGAGGACCATCACCAGCTCCGGGTAGCGCAGGTGCTGCGCGACCCGCGCGAGGTCCTCCTCCAAGGCGGCCATGGCCTACGCAGCGAGCTGCGTGACGGTGAGGGTGATTTGATGGCTTCAATCTGAAGGATGAGTGACTGATGGATCACGTGGTGCCAAATGGATGGCATGCACGTGAAGGAGCAAAGTGCAACATTGATGTAATTGGTGTTCGAGGCAGGTTGGCGGTTGGCCAACTTCCCTCAGCTCATTGACTTGGTCCTGCCACTCGACCACTTTCAAAGAAAACACACACTTGAACCGTTACATGGCGTCTCGGCAGAAAAAGAACCCACCTCCTCCGCCCAGCGCGGCAAAGGAAAGCTACCAGTGCTTGACCCATGGCTCTCTCCACCCATGCGCGACAAAGCATCCAAACTCAAGGCCACTTCGGCCGGCTTAAAGCCCTTCCGTGCGAAGCGGCGAAGGGTGGGCACCAGCCTCGTCACGTCGCAGAAACGTCAACCGTGCTGACGACACGACGTGGGTCCCACGACCGCACGAGGTCCCTCCCAGCTTCTTCAAGTCCAAGGATTTGGACCAACGCCAAACCGCAAGAAACTGCCAGGAAACATTGGGAGGCTTCTCAATTTACAACCAATCAGTGGGACTGGCATGATTGGCTACACTGACCCCCTTACGGTAACCTTCAACCACCTATAGTGGGAAAGTCCATCAGTTCCTAACACCGCGATCCTCTCTGGCTTACCCAACTCCCAAGACCAAAACCCCGAAGGTGCTTTCCAAGGCGCTCCTGCACCACCTCCGCCACCAACTCCGTGTGCTCCCCCAGCTGCGCCACCGCGTGCGCCAGCGCCGCCGCACCCCGAGGTTCCAAGTCCCGTCGTGCGCGGCCACGCACATCGCGCAGCACGCGCGCCAGCAAGGCGGGTGGGGCCCAGCTGAGGCGAGACATGGCGCTGAGAGTGAGGCAAAGGTCCTGCGGAGGTCGCGGACGACACCGACAAGCGTGACTGGTCCAACGAGTGTGGCACAGCGGTGCTCCTCTTGCGAGGAATTGAATGTGGGACGATAAAAGTTGGAAACAAGTGCGAGGTTGGTGTCGCGAGTACGAGTGACGAGCACCAATGTTGGCAACCGCTCACATGTTGTGACTGGTGACAATGAATCAACCACCAAATATATGTCCAGCAAGAGCAAGCAGGAGAAGAGCTAAAGTTCATTGTCAAGCTTCAGATCCCAGGGGTCTTCTGATAAATCAGGAGTCAGGAGTCTGATGAGGTTCATGAATATATAATAATATATAGATAACAACAACAACAACAACAAGGTACAAACAAAACTGCAGCCCCGTTACAAGATATCTTGTTCCTTTGTCTCTACAAGGGGGTGGAAACAAAATCTGCAACCCCGTCGTTGTTATTTTGACCCCCTCAAAAAAAGCAGCCAACATGTACTTTTACCAGTGGTGGTAGTGCTTGTACTAGTGCTAGTACTGCTAGTGCTAGTGGTACTAGTACTAGTAGTGGTCGTTGTTGTTGTGACCGCAAGTAGTAGTAGTCGTCGTCGTGGTGGTGGTAGTCCGGTCAGCTAAGCCTCTGTAAAACTTCTACTTAGAACCTCTACCACATCCTAGAGACAAAACTGCAGCCCCCTTGTTTTTTTTTGGACCCCCCCCTCAAAAGATGTTGTTGTCTCTACCCCCCCTAGAAACAGAATCTGCAGCCCAGTTGTTGTTTTTTGACCCCCCCCCTCCAGAACAACACCCCAAAAAACATAAAAAAAACAAGAAACAGACCAACCAAGACTTGAGTACCACAACGACAAGAAGTCCAACTACTAACATCTCTCCAAACCTTCGACCCTATCCCCAACAGTGTCCCTTTGAAATCCCTGACTTGCAACATGTGACAACTATGTTGGGCAGCTGTTTTTGTCTCTACCAACGTCTCTACCAACAACAACGACAACAACAACAACAACGACCACGACGACAACGACAACGACAACGACGACAAGGACAACGGCAACGGCAACGGCAACAACAACAACAACAACAACAACAACAACAACAACAACAACAACAACACTGTAATCATCAACAACCACGAACCACCAAACCGACGCTTGGGAACGCTGAGACCACACCGGCGCATCCCCTCCTGTGCCGAGAAGCCTCCTTGGGTGCATCAACCACCATCCGACCGGTCGAATCCTACAAAGCTGAAAATGCCCTGGATTCCCGGAATTCAAGAGGCAAACAACCTGCATTGCACCTGACCCAGCACGCACAAATGCAATAATGGGGCATGGATATCGTGTTCAATGCAATATGGGGTTGATCCATCTGCCTGGTGCAGTACCAGTAGTGCAGCAAGGACGACCTTGGGACGTCTACAAGACTAGCAACTTCTCTCAAGAAAGGATGCGGTCCATTACATACCTAGTATCATCTAGTATCTACAGTATGTTGATTCTCTTGCCCAAGCTGCTCAAAGAAACAACTGCTACCAGTAGCCCGACTTACTTGTTCAAACCAATTTCCGGCTCGGTTTTTGGGACTTTGGACAGGCCAAACGGGCTTCTTCGGAAAGTTCTCACGTCTTGCAAATATGGTATTGTTTGGATTCCCCGTCAGCAGATAGTGGATTGAGCAAAGTAGATTATGCGATTATGTGGATATATCATGGTATATCATTGTTCAGTCACCAACGTGTGTGATCAAAGTGTCCATCAAATTAATCCAAAACAGCAGGATTCATCCAACGCCAACGCATCCTCGGTAGAACCTCCATAACTCCTTTAAGGACCTCCGAGATCCGAGGCTCCTTCCCGCACCTCCATGAGCGCCTCCTCGGCAGCGCTGGTCCAGTTGGACACCCGCGCGTGCGCCAAGGCATTCACGGTGAGCGTTAGATTCTGCGCCGGCATCTTGGACATGAGTGGCGTGCAGTAGTGGGCGATCTCCTGTCAAGGTCGGAGATCAAGCTGGGCTTGGTGCGAGTTACTTGCCATGACTTGATGCACAGAAGTGAAGCAACAAGGAGGAACAAAGGAAGTAGAATGAAGAATGCCACGAAAGGACAAACACTGTGCTGTATCGAGGAACTTGCTCTTGACAAGGACAAGGAGCTTTTCTTCTGGTTGAATCAAATTAATCTGCGACAAAGCGCAAAAAAAGGGATAAAGGCTAGTGGTCATGCTTTCAGGGAATTAAATCTCTCCGGGCGCCTCCTAGCCTAGTACCTCCCAAGATACATTATAGACATAGAGAAACAAAACATGAAATATATATATATATGTTTAGATGCATTTGGAAACAATTCACTTCTGCTTTGTGCGCTGGCTTGCCAAATCTCATTACAGTACTTTTCCAACCCGACAGTCCTCCCATGTCTCCGTGTCAAACTCTTTTGGCCTCTTGCTGAGCTCGTTCACGCAAAGGCTGGCCTGCGGAGTGGAAGAAAACCGGTGTCAAGTCCAACCCAAGCAAAACCGCGGTTGCCGTCTTTACACTCTCAATAACGACACGTCCGACGCATGTGTGCGCATGTGTGTAAGCAAAATACAAACGTGTATCACCCCGCTTACCCAGCACCTGGTGCTTCGGTAGGAATCTGAAAGGACAAACGTGGATGCCCAGCTCTTTGTTCTGTCCTTTTACTTCCCTCTCACTCCACCATTTCACCTACTTGGTGAATTATGTATTCATGCTAAAGAAACTCAACGCACGATCGACAAGCCTAATTAGAACTTGAGGGCTTGAGGGTACTCTTTACTGACCAAATAGCATCAAAGGCTCTGTTGAAGCCAAAGTCGGTCAAAATCAATCCAAGTGGGGAACAAACACAAGCACATCATGCTGCCGCACATCTACGTGACTCAAGACCATTTTCTCTCAAAGGGCCCTGGTCATCTTCCATGTTTGTCAGAGGGGGGTATCATCTCCACTGAACACATGTCCCCCCAAGCCCGAGCCACTGAATGTTACAGATCACCCTCCAATCAATAATCAATAGAACCATGCCCAAGTCAGTCTTTACATACTAGCCTAGGGCCTATCATATTGAGTCTGTACTGCTTGACCCCTCACTTCAGACTATCTTAAGCCAGTCTTAGGTCTTCAGCTGCTACTCATGTTCAAGCAGAATCTTCGGCTACTACCCAGCTCCACTTCCATTTTCCCCAACGTGCGCCTCAATGATGAAGCTTGGCCCCTCCTCTTTAGTGCTTCTCAGCGCCTCGAGCAGCCTCAAACCTCCACCGCGCGGCTGAGCGCGCAAGGCCTTCCGAAAGCCACGCAGCGCCATGGCCGGCGGGGAGGGAGTTCCAGCGCCATGGGGAGACGAGGGGAGGTGGAATGTGTTTTGGGTGGAATGGTAGCTGTGGGGGTGGCACTAACACCCTTGGGGTGTCAAAACATGTCAAAACTACCTGAAGGGTAGCACTAGCACTTTGTCAAGAAGCTGAAGGGTGAGGAAAGGTGTACAGAGTTTTTTGAGCCTTTGATTCATGGTGATTGATGGTTCATGTAAGCTGGGGTTCGGAGGATTTTCTGAGACGGTGTTTTCTGAGATGATCCAAGCAACTGATTATCTCAAGCCTTTGTAGCTCAGTGCTGAGCTCAGGAGACTTGGGTGAAAACTGGGTGGAAACCGGTGGTGCTTGTTGATCTTCGTTGAGTGGCTCTTTGAGCAAATCAATTGCACCGGTTTTCAGGTGTGTTGATCTGATGAATTCTGGGATCACTTGGTCAATCTCACACATGCTAGATCATGCCAGGAACGATGGACCAAATCTTGCCGACCAGGAGTCACAAAGGCTTGTCTATTGGAGGATAGGGGTGCCCATTATCCACTCACTTGGGGACTGAAAACCACTCCTTTGTGACTCCTGGTGTATTTGTCTATTAGGTCCTAGGTCCACTTCTTGCCAGCAAGGAATCCCCAAACCGTGCTGATCAGCTGCACTGCACAATGTCACACCCCTCCACTGACTCTACGGAGGCATCTTCCTGAGGTACTGTGGGCCCCTGTGGATGCAACAATTGAGGTTTGCCCTGTCAGCCAGAGTCGAGACTCTTCTCAATGTTGCCAGTGCTTAGCCAGTGACTCATGAGCGGTTGCTCGAACCCTCGCAATTGATTTTCTTTGTGGTTGCTGGAAGAGACTGGGACTTACCGATTTCACCCGCCGTCTGTGGCATTGATTCATGATAATCATTTCATTGAGCCGAGAATAGCTTCTCATGCTGAACAAGTCGTCAGGACAAGCCGCTGTGCAAAAGAAGATACGCATATGCATTTATGCCGTCAATGCCGTTAAAACGTGTCCCAAATCTCACCACTTTTTTAGGCAGGATAGGTCTGTGCCGAAAAAGGCGCCTTCCAAGTCCAAGCAGTTTCTGGCAGGGTGGGCTGCCCACCATATCCCTGGGCCTCCACCTAGTTTTTTTCAAATTGCTGGCCACCAGGGTGGGCTGCCTCCTACCCCGCCAGCACCCAGAAATTAAGCAAACGGTGCGCCTCCCGAAACCTGTGTGCTCGTCCCGTGTCCATGCAACCGCATGCGCCTCTTCTCCGGCTCTGAGACGCAGTCCCGGTCTTGCAGGTCCCACCTCGAACGGCGGAGGAGCTCGACTCGAAGGGGCTGGTGAAGTGAAGGAATGCGATGTGACATGATCTCCAGTCAGGGTATGCCAGTCAAGGACCTCCAGGACATCTACCCTAGTAGGGATCCACTGCCACCTTCTGAGAATGCCCTTCCGTACCTTCTGAGAAGGTGGCAGTGGATCCCTATAGGGTCAAGGACCTTTGCTCCGCCTGAAGGTGCCTCCAGCACGGCCCATGAGGCGCCAAGGCGTGCCTCGCCGGAAAGACGGCCCGGCCCCTAAGCGGCGTGCACAGACATGTCGAGGTCTGAGGGGGCATGCCTTCCAAACAGGTCTGTATAGTGGTTAGTGGTCAAAAAACAGATTCAACGCAACACTATGCCATGCCTTTTCTGGAGTGGATGATTTTGGGGTCACCGCACAAGGCTCATGACCCGCCGGATCTCTTCCGAAATTCGGCGGGAAGCACCCAACACAAAGTCAACGGCTTGCAGGTTCTGTCATGCTGCCCGCTTCAATCTTCATTTGAATATTTGAGGCCACGTTCTTCTGAAAGTGATCAACAACAACCCATAAGGTGATGGATTCTCCGGATTCTGCTGGTGTTCCAAAAGCAATCTCAAGAACTGGACCCCAAACCCTCCCGTGTATGGAATATAGTTATATACATACAGTCAGTTGCATACATTTACCCCATGAACATGACCGAAATCCTTGTATCAATCACTCCCAACCAGTCCCGTGGATGGTCTAATAAATATTTTGCGCAATTCACCCCATCACCCCCACGCTGCCCACCGGCGCAAACGCTGCCAAACGCACAGACCGCGGTCCTGGGTTGACTTGGAAGGCAACCTTTTCACCGCCCGTGGTGGCGGGGAGCTCCTCACGGTGAGGAGAACTATCTTTAGGAAAAGGGTTCATTCACCTGGTGGGCAAATGAACGGAAATCATTGTGTCGTGTGTTTCCTTTTTTCAAGTTGTACCTTTGGGAGATCTTGGGTAAAACTCCATGCAGGGAACGAGTTTTACACGGTGTAAATCACCTGCCAGGATTTTTGCCACCACGGACGGACTCCCAACATGGCCAAAGTACTAAAAACATGGCCTGCCAAAGCTCCACTTGTTTCTCCCTGAAGGCTTGTCACCTCTGGAAATCTCAAATCCATTACACCAAAAATGAGCACTAACACACACACCAAAAAAAAATATATAGCTTCCAAAGGGAATCTGAGACCTTAAACTTACGGTTGGCTTTGCATGTGCAAATTGCCCCTTTCATATCTTTCATAGTGATGAGAGTCTCAAGTGCATATTTAAAAAGATTATACGTAGCATCAGCTTGTGCATGTACTCAAAAGCAACATCACACACGAACACATCATCATCGGCCGATCATAGGCACTGCGACGCGACGACGGGATCTTTCTTGGCGCTTTCAAGGCCGTCCGCACGCTCCGGTGTGCGGCCGAGCCGGGCAAGCTCTGCAGCCCCGGTCGGGCTCCAGGGGGTCATCGGCTTTCTTAAAATGGGTGTGAGAGTATACATTTGACCATTTCAGGGGTTGAACTCATGAGATCATGCATGTTCTCTGCTCCTATATTTTCATTCTTTTTCACCAAACCTCTCTCTCTCTGCACCGCATTTTGCGATTTGCCTCTATGGTACGTGGCCTGCAGCAACTTCGGCTGTGCAGGGCCAAAAAAATCCTCACCGCCCGCATCACGGGCTGATTTCACACGGTCTGTCGCGCTCGGGCGAGCTCACCGGGAACCGGTCGGGCGGCTTGACGGGCCGAAACGGGGCTCCGATGGAACTTGAGAATTCGAGGAATTTCGAGATCGCCTTGGTTTCACGTGGGGCACCCATAAGGAATGCCTGATGGCAAATGAATCACGATGCAACAATTGATCTTCCGGATGTCTTTTTCATGGCTGCATGGCTTGGTGGCTTCCAAAGTGTTCCACGTGTCTGGACACCAAGGCGCCATAACCGCGCTGCACTGCGGCATGGCACGATTCATCTTTGCTTTTGAGCATGGGGTGAGCAGGGGAGGTATTATATCGGTTGCCAGGCTTTGTTTCACTTTCAGTGTCACTATAGTTATAAGCATATAATATGCATGCAGTACTAACTCACAGCGAGATGCGTGCTCATGCACTCGCCTCTTTTCTAAAGCTCGAAAGCTGGCTAAAGGTGCACCTGCGGACGTGAGAGTGTGAGGGACCTGAATCACGAACGGGCATGCAAAGAGCAAGTCACTTTGAAATTCTCACTGGTATCTTTCTTCTTTCGTGATTCGGGGCTCACGAGCTGAGTGTACGGGCCATTCAACCAGCTCCTGAACACTTCCCTCAGCTGCTTGGTAGATTTCGTCAATCCATCGGCCCATTGGACCGAGGTTGGACACCAGCGAATGGTGGTAGCAGAAATGAACTGCTGGATGCTTCTCAGATCCACGTAGGTGCGCTTCTCGGTGGTGCGTGGATGCTCAGCTGAGATGGCATCGTGAAGACTTTTGCAGTCTGTTACTTGCAGTTGGTGGAGCCGCCATGAACTCAAGTCCTTCTTCGGCTTCTCACCTGTCAGCAGCTCGCTGAGCATCAGGTTGGCGAAGTAGCTGCGATCCACGCAGTCGTCGCAGGACATCGCCTCACTTGCAAGCGTCGACCTGCAAACCCGTGCAGATCTGTTGCTGCGCCAGTCGATGAGATTGGCTTTGGCATTCACCTCTGTGCACTGGGGTGAGGTGATGAGAACCCCGTGACGGATCTAAACTCCGTCTGTTCCGCTGTGGAAAGCGGTCCACCCTGAGCGATGCGGCCTCGCTCCAACTTGCCACTTGTGGAGTTGTCCACAAACTTGTCTTGGGTGACATGGAGGTGGATGGCTTCTCCATGTTTCTTGAGCGTCAGCTCCTTTCCCTTGAACTCCAGTGGCTGGTCCATGGACAGCTGCTTCTGGCTGCCCCAGGAGAAGAGGTCGAGCAGCTCTTCTTTCCGGTAGCTGGTCCTGCATGTCATGAGGAAGTCGTCGACGTAGACGATGCAGAGAGAGACGAGGCGTTCATCTTGCCTCTTGTAGAACATCATCTTGTCCAAATGGTGCTGAGTGTAGCCCACTGACAGCATTCGCTTGATCACTTCTCGTGACCATGTGCGAGGGGCGCTTGCTAGCCCATAGATGTTCTTGAGAACCCTGTAGAGTTTGGCTTTGAACGTGCCCGCTCGGAGGGTGATGGCATCCCGTGGCGGCAAGAGGTAGAGGGGCTCTGGCCTCTCGTGGTCTTCGAAAGTGCCCTGCATGAAGGCGGTGGACACGTCTCCGGCCCACAAGATCCATTCTTCGGGATCTGCTTCCATGAGGCCATTGGCTCCTGCGGTGAAGATGCTGAGCAGGATGTATTCCGACACCCTCATCGGAGTCGGACTGTCCCTTGAGATCCGATGCAAATCTGGATCTAGGTGGCCAAGTGCGACCACTCGAGTCTTGGCGGTGAGCTCGGTGGGGATGCGGCTCTTGTTGCGGTAGCAAGCCCTGCTTCGCAACACCCTGCGCCTTTGTGCAGGATTGGCCAAAATGGCGGCCGCTTCATCATCTGGGATGGCTCCAGCCCTTTTCTTCCTTTTGGGCTGAGGCCACATAGGCCTTGATGTCATCTTCTGGCATCTTCATGATCTCTCGCCAGGGGATCTCGCGCTCAAGCGCTTTTGCTTCCTTGCGGCTGATGAGCCTTGATGCTGGGTCCGTGGAGTCATCTGGACCTGAAGATTCAGCATCAGATTCTTCTTGAGCGCCGGTGAGGTCGGTCGAGAGGACTGCGTAGCCCTCGGCGTGCAGAAGTGGTAGTGCAGCTTGTGCAAAGGTGGTGCAATGCTGTTGGTTCACGATGTATGTGGGTGGTGAACCGTCCCACGTGTGGTGTGGTGGATCGATGCTGTCGAGCATTGATGCCAGCATTGCCTCATATGTGCGCTTCTGTGGAAGCGTTGGCAGTGCAGTTTGCCCTGTGCTTGCCGCTGCTGCGTTTGTGTCTGTCGCTGCCGGTGCTTCTGCCGTGCCCGTGTGTGAGCTGGAGAACTGAGTTGTGGTAGACCCTGATTGCCGTGCAGAGTCTTGTGCCTGTGATGCCTGTTCTGCCTGTTGTTCCGTGCTGTCTTGCTGCTGCTGTTCTGCCTGTATTGCATTTCCTGCGGGTGCAGTTGCAGGTGGTGCAATTGGTGCCGGTTGTCGTACTGGTAGAGGTGGTGTTTCTGGCACCGGTGTAGTCCATGCTCCTCGTGCTGGGGTCCTCGGTGTGTGAGGTGTCCCTGAGGTGAGTCGAATTCGACGGTTGGTCGGTGTGCGTGACCGAGCCGTCCGTGTGAGACCATAGCGCTGTGGATGATAGTCCAACGGGGTGGTCGTTGGTTCAGCCTGTGCGCTTTCAGCAGTAGGTGATGCTGGATACGAGTGGATGTGTATCCCACTCAAGTGTAGGTTGGTTGTTGCCTCTTGCTGTATATGTTGCTCTGTCACCTGCTGCACCCGTTGGTGAAACGTAGGTGGGGTGCTCTTTGACCGTGGTGTATCCTGAGCTGCCTGTCGTGATGCTTGTTGCTCAAGACGCTGTGGTGGTGTCAGAGGTAAAGCAAGTGGCATTGGACCTGGTTCAGATGCTGTGGCTTGTTCCGCTTGTGCTTCTGCAGCTGCCGCTGTGTTGTCCTCCAAGGCGTCCAGCTGGTAGTCGTAGGAGTCTTCATCTATCGGTGGGGCTGTTGCTTGGTGGTCTTCCCAGAGGCCTTGGCGTATGTTATGCGCTGCCTCTTTCAGCATTTGCTGATCTTCTCGGGAAGGTTGCCAGTGCTCAAAACCGACAGCTCCTCGAAGTTGCTCCAATGCTACGTGCACTGTGGTTGTTCCTGAGTGGACCCATGCTGACTTGTTGTCCGGGTCATAGGACAAGAATCTAGCCACAATCCAGGCTCCTTTCTTCTTGGTCGATTTGCCCTTGGGGACTTGCCAGCGCCAGTACGCACAGTTCTGGCCTGGGAGCAAGTCTCTTTGGTGGGAGGCTGCCGTCTTCCGGAGCAAGGCTCGACGGAGTGCTTGGCTGGTGTTGATGTCTGCTAGGGCCTTGATGGCCTCTGCTCGTAGGACATCTGGTCGGACGGTGCCTATCTGGTCTGGGTGGCAGATGAGGGCGGTGTCATCTTGAAGTAGCCCTGAGCCAATCCTTGGGATTTGACCAAACACTGCCATGTAGGGCGGTCGACCGTGGCTGTAGGTCATCGAGTTGAGGGCGTGTGTCGCCGCTTCGATGGCTTGGTCGAAGTCATCTGCGTTGAAGATGGCTTCTGCATCAATGATGCGTTCCATGATGTCTCTCAGGACGCTGTTCCTTCTTTCGATCAAACCCACCCGCCAGTGAGCTTCAGCGGGGATGAACTCAAGCCAGATGCCGTGCCGCTCGGCGTACTGCTTGAAGTGGAGGCCGTAGTTGGTGCCTGGGTCACACCTGATGGTGACCGGGAAACCAAAAGGTTGAAACCATAGCTGTCGAAAGAGCTGCAGTGTGGTCTCTGAAGACATGTCTGGGAGTCTGGCTGCCTTGTGCAGTAGTGTTGACTGATCGATGATTCCCAGCACTGCGTAGTTGGTTCCGGCCACATCTCTGCAGTAGAAGACGTCCGTCTGCAGTGAGTCATTGAACTGTCCCAGGTTGGCCTTGGGGATCGTCGAAGGTCTTGGCTGCTTGGCCGGCTTGGCCCGTATGCAGCTTGAGCAGTGCAAATGTTTCACTGCCGTGATCATGTGCTTGGAGATGGCTCCTTGGTAGGCGAGGAGTCTCAATAGCTCTCGCTCGGATGGATGGCCCAAGTTCATATGCAGTCTTTTCACTGCTGCCTTCACTTCTGAAGGGACATCGTTTGGGATGCCCGGAAAAGTGACCATCTCGATGATGGATGAAGGCGCTGGTTGTGGAGGTTGCTCTTGGCTTGGTTGAGGTTGTGATATATCATGTTTGGAAGGTTGCTCCTCTGGTGGTGTGGACTTGATGGGATCGCCAAACCCATACCAGAAGATGCCATAGGCCACACCTTTGGAGAACCGTTGCTTTGGGAAATGCATGCCATCCAATGCTTCGGCTTCAACGGCAATTTGGCCATCCTGATACTCCAGCACTGCTCCTCTGTGAGTGAAGAGGATATCTCTTGGAAGTCGCCGTTGAACTGGTGTCCTGGTGACTTGGACACGAATGAGTTCCCATGGAACCAGGTTGGAGATGTTGTGGTGCAAAGGGTCTGTATCCGCCAAGGTGAATGAGCGGACGGTGGTGGACTCGAAGATGCGATGGACTTGACGAAGAACGTCCATCCATGCTGCTGGGTCCTGCATGGGTTCTTGATACAGGACTTCGTGCGCTGTGAGGAAGCGCTGTGGCCATCGTCTGCGAGCTTCAATCTTGATGGCACGTAGGATTGCCCTGCACATCTTCTCCGGGTAGCGTGCACTGAGCCGGACTTCCTTGCCGATGAGTGGCACGCAGTACATCTGTTCTTCTTTGGTGAGCTTCCTCGAGAGGGCAATGGCGAGCTCTCTGGAGTTGGTGAGCCACTGGTAGACCTTGCGGATTGGGTCTCCTTGGCTGTTGCATCCGCCATAGGCTCCTGCGTGACACTGGACCACATACACATCATCTCGAATGGCCAGGGTTTGAAGTTCTGGTAACTCCCAGATGCGGGATGGTGCAGGGTTCTCGAACAGGAAGAAGTTGCCTTGTTCGATCTGCCGATAGCAGGCTCGGATGCCTTCTTTGACGAGGGGGTATTGTTTTTGCCGCTTGTAGATGAGCTCATCCATGCGGTCCTTCCCCTTGTAGTTGAGGTTTTCATTGAAGATGTTCCAATCGGTGCATTCGGTCTCCACCAACACCAGAAGGGGCCGATAGGCCGTCTGAGCTGCTCGCCAGGACTGTTTGTCCTTGGTGGTTGTCATGTCTTTGTTGTAGAGGAGGTCGTAGGGCTCCATGGCATGGAGGCCATACTGGTGAGCAAGGAAGGTGACGTCGGCATGGCCAGCATAGAGCTCCATGATGTCAATCTTGGGCATGTCCTTCACAGAAGGGAGCTTGTCATAGATCTAGGCCTCTACGGAGAGGATGGATGCAGATCTCTCGATGTTGCCGCTCAGCCGTCGAATTGCTCCCAGTCGAACTCCTCGTCGCTGATCTCCTGAACTGGTGGTTCCATGAATTGGTCCCATGCCGGATTCCAGCCCGGTGGCAGCCTGGGATCTTCGAAGCTGTTCTCGTCGCTGAGACGGTCCTGGTCCAGCAGCCTCTCCAGTCCCTCCTCGATGTCGTCGTTGAGGGGTTGAGTCCATTGGACTGGTAGTGCTGGTTCTCCATGACGAAGCCTGTAGTTCTGGACGGTCTCCATGACGGTCTGCTGCCTGCTGGAAGGCTGTGCCTTGTTCTTGGGGACAGGACCAGCGGTCTTCTTGGAACCTGATGTCGTTCTGGATGATGTCTTGGAATGCTTGACCGTAGGAGGCAGTGGTGTCTGCGCCATGTCGCCCGGATAAGGATACCCCGAGCTGCTGCTTGTCCAGGGGAAGGCAGTGGCAACCGTGAGGAATTGGATCCCCCTGTGAAGAGCTCCCAGCCGTTGTCCGCTCTGTTCCACTTCCAGCGGATGTTGCACTGAAGACACTGAGCGTAGCTGCCGTGTCGATTCCCCGACCGTTTGATGTGGTCGTGTGGACAATCCGGCTGTGGGGCATAGGTTGCCTGAGGCTTCTTGCTCTTGGGCTTCGGGTTGACCTTCGCCGTGGCAGGTGCGACTGCGCTCTCTCGTACAGGTTGTCGGCGAAGGAACCGCTGTGCCTGCTTGGCCCAATCCATGAGCACCTTCGTGAGGAATCTCCATCGCCAGAGCCACTCGGGCGGTGGAGGCCTGTCCAAGTTCATGGGGTGCTTCGCTGTGCGGACCGAGGTGAAGCGGGCTCGCTCCCTTGGACATGGCTTGAGATGAAAGCAGGTGGTAGGAAACAAACTCACGGACGTGGCCAGCTTTGCAATGCTCTTGCAACTCATGTAGATGATCATGCCAAAAACGAAAACAACGCTGCTGTGGTGCGAACTCTGACACGTTCAACCCGAGGTGGCCATTGACCAAAACAAGGGGTAAAGTGACATCAAATAGACCCAAGTAAACTTCATGCTTGTTCATATCGATGATGGCCCCGACATCCTGCAACCATGTTCTGCTAGCCAGGCATGGGATCTGGGCTTCAAGAATGCAGGGTGCCATAACACACAAAAACTGACCAAACCCGACGGGGAAGTACATGGTGTAGGTCGAGTGGATCGGAGCACCTTTCCCAAACTCGAAATACTCTGAAGTGTCCAGCTCGAAGGGGGTAATAGACCATGACTTCATCTGATGCTTTTGTGCCTCCGACCAACTGCGACCTGCACACAACCGTTGACACGCGGTATCGAGGATGATGTGACCAGCAGCCTTTGTTGCGCCCGTCAAGCAGATCTGGTTGGTTGGGCACTGTGAGACAAAAACGGAGTGGGCCGTGTGTTCAGGCTTATCCTCGTCATCGTGCCCACCATAATGGTTAAGGTAGTGCACGGACCTAGTCTTGCCGCCCTTGTCGGTCTTGCCAAGGCCCTTGCCGTCTTTTGGTGCCCTTGCCAGAGCTCTTGCCTTTTGCGCTGACTGCGCACTCGGCATCTCCTGCCCAGTGTCCTTGAGCTCCGCACGCTGAACAGTGCGTCATCTTCTTCCGGTCGGAGATCGAACGCTTGGGCATGGAGGTAGAAGTCGATGAAGATCCATACTTGCGGGCCTGCAAAACACCCGCTAGCTTTCGTGCCGTGACTGTGAGAATCTGTGCGACTTCGGGGTCGTCTTCATCCCACTCAAGCTCTTCCTGATCGGCTTGAGAAGTCACTTCATTGTCTGCGTCCTCCTCTGCTGGAGGCTCTTCCGGGTCAGGGTCCATGTCGGGCTCCTCCATGGTGAGGTCGGTCTCGTTGGCCTCCGTGACGAAGGTCTGACGAGGTGGAGGTGTACCCTTGCCCTTTGACTTGCCTTTTCCGCCGGCTGGCGGCGGTGCGCCTCCTCTGAATCCTTTCCCACCAGGCTGGTGGAGAGGTGGCGGGAGCGGTTTGTGCTCCGGCCACTGAAACAGCATGACATCCTTGATGTTGTCAAACTCTAGCGACTGGCCTGTGCCAATGAGGATTTGGCGCTGATGTTCTTGTGACAGCTTGGCTCTTTCGAGCATCCTGGCGCCCCGAGCTTCGGCGTCATACATGTCGGTGACCTTGATCCCGACGGTGCCCAATGCCCGCTCTGTGCGAGCGTAGCGGTTCACGAAGCTCCTCATCGTCTCTTGTGGCGCTCGGTAGATATGCTCATATGTATTGAGCAGCTGTCGTTTGAGGTGTACTGAACGAGTCTCAACCGCCTTCTGGATGGTGTCCATGATGAAGGTGACTCCATCCACATCGAAGATCTTCTCCAATGGGGCATCCTCAAGCTCCTCTTCCAACTCGCCCTTGAGGCTGTTGAAGAGAAGGATGCCGGCCTCGCGCTTTGGGACGTAGTTCACGACCTGCAAGGCCCACATTTCAATCCTTTTCTTCCACTTCCGGAAGGCGGCAAGGTCATTCTTGTCATAGTGCCAGCCTGGCGGCTGGGGCGGCTGTCCGCCGCGGTAGCGGACACCATGAGTGGGTCCTTTCAAGGTGTTCCAGGTGCTCGGAGAGCTCGTGCTTCCACCAGGTGTACCTCGGCCGTGATCCGACGGAGGCGGATCACCAGGGTCAGGATCTGGGAGATGAGGCTCTGAAGGTGCCTTAGGTGATCTTGAAGGGCTCTTCCGTGGACCCTGAGGTTGGCCATGAGGTGAACCATGTGGTGAACCAAACGGAGGTCCATGTGGTGAACCATGTGGTGAGCCAAACGGAGGTCCATGTCCCTGTGATGGTGTCGGCTCCGATGGGGCCTTTCGCCTTCGTCTTCTTCGTTTGGGCTCCGGGACAACGTCCTGTGGATTCCCTTCAGGTCGAGGCGATGGCCTGTGACTGGGCGTGATGGTCGGGTCATAGGTGGCCGTCTCGGTCTCTGCCCATTCTGACTCTGACCCTTGTGATCCGTCAGGACCACCGGGAGGTGAGCCAACTGGTACTTGGGGAACTCTAGGAACATGTACATGAGGTAATCCTGGAACATGTGCGTGGGGTACTCCGGAAGGTCCTAGGTGAGGTCGTCCAAGGAACATGGTGGTCATCGGGGTACTCCATGAGGTAGTGGTGTACATCTCAGGTGCAGTGTGGTAGGTCGTATTGGGCTCAGCTCTAACCTGGCCGGTCGGATCGGGCTCCAAGGTGCCTGCACGATGGCCTAGGTGAACTGGTTGGGACTGCAGTGAGAAAGTCATCGAACCGCAGTCCATACAGCGCCAGCTCTGCCGTTGGTCGCACCAGGCATAGCTCCAAGATCTGCATGCCGCGCATCGCCAGCAATCATCTTCCGTCAAGTCGGCGTGAAAGGCGACGGGCTCCAAGGAGGTCTCTGACCTAGGTGGCGAACCAAGGGAGGGGCGCCACGCCATCCCAGCCGCACCTGCAGCGCGGTCAAGCAGCGGCTGGTCTTCCAGCAACGCCGCGTCGCGTCGAAGGGGCATGTTGGCGGAAACCGGCACCCGGAGCTTAGGGCTCCGCTGCCAACACAGCGAGATGCGTGCTCATGCACTCGCCTCTTTTCTAAAGCTCGAAAGCTGGCTAAAGGTGCACCTGCGGACGTGAGAGTGTGAGGGACCTGAATCACGAACGGGCATGCAAAGAGCAAGTCACTTTGAAATTCTCACTAACTATATAATTGACAAACACATGGTGACGGGCGGCGCTACAACCAACTCAAGGTCCAGCAATGCACTGGAGTCCTTCTTATTTCTTCTTGTTCTCCTGCTTCTTCCAAGCTTCGAGACATCTATCCCGGCAAAGCACTGAAGGTGCAGCAAAGCGAGGCAACAGGCTGCTACCACGTGGTGTGGGCGCTCTGGCCAAGCTGCCGAAAAGGATTTGCACTATATAATGACCGCCAATGTCCAGTGCCAAACATAGAGGCCCATCATGATCCATCGGACAGCATCCAAGCAAGCCCAAATGCGGAATAAGAGGGTCATCAGTTCGTCTACAATTATATAATGCTTCAGTGGACAGGATTGTCTCTCCTCTAGCCAGGATGCATGGGGACAGCCATTTGGATCTTGCTGGAGCAATTCCTCTGTCGGCAGCTTGTGGCACAGGTGCTGTAAAACTTTCACAGGATGCAGCCTCAGCTGTCTGTCAGAGAGGCTTGCCAAAACCCGTCCCCAAACACTTTGTCTATCACAAGTTAGCCGAACAGCCAGGAGTGGCAGTAAATCACTTGGGTCCGTTGTAGCCGCCCTACCAATCCAAAGCCCCTGTATTTTTGAATTACCTGCTCCAGCATGAGTCAAGAGCAAGAGAACCTAATGACGAAGGGGGGTGGATTGCCAGCATGTCACAACAAACAAAAAAATAATGTAGACTCTTGATTAATACACCCCCCCAGTTGAATTGAAAATCCTCTTCAAGGGGGGGTGTTTATTAATCAAGAGTCTACATTATAAATATATCAAATATACAGTGCGCAGGTATATATATATTTTTTTTGCAGCCGGGCTCTGCTGCCCTTCCTCTTTCTCCAAGACCCTTCCTGTTTCGCCTGTTTCGGTCGTCTAATCTCCGAGGCCTCGACTGTAGTGGCAGCACGCCACGCGGCCCAAGCCGAGCCGATACGCATCGGCGATCGGCGTGGGCCACGCTCAAGGGAGCGATGCGGCCCGCAGCAGTGCAAGGCCTCCCCAGGCCCATTTGGATGGAGTCCACCCATCCACACCTCACGAGCACCTAATTACGACCGTTATGCCGACCTGTTTCAAGAAGTTTTTGAACTGGTGCTGCCAGACCCGTTCAGTGTGAAACTTGAAAAGGAGCTAGGAAGGATGGGTCACTCCGGTGATATTGGTCTTCCAGCTCTCCTCTTGAAACACGAACAGTCGCCGGACAAAAACCACCTCAAACTGACTGTGTCTTTCTCCATCTTTGGTAGCCCATGCGTTTCTTTGAAGAAGGGCAACATAAGGCAACTATACCAGGACCTTCCAACGGGTGGTTTCAGAAGCCTAACAGGTGTTTTCTGGGCACCTGTTGTCACCAAGAAACACCTGCTGGAGCGTCCAGGTAGCCTTTCCATGATCTCGAAAGAACAAAACACAACGCTGAAGCCTTGCCGAAACGACGAAAAAAGCACCAAGGTCACTGACTGGACGGTCGACGGAGCCCTGTGATCCGCTGTGATCCGCTTTCGAGTCCGGCCTGTGGGCGACATCTTGGGCCGGGCAATGATGAGGCTGCACTGTGCCTCCCACAGTCGCGAACAAATCGCACCGCAGTTGGAAGGATTGGAAGGATCAAAGACCAGCGGCGGTCTCTGTCTCAGTTCTGTCTACCTGTCTACCTGATTGTTGTTTTTTTTGCGGAGGTCATTTACCCCCTCAAGATTATGAATCCGGCAATTTTCATCCCACTGCAGTTGAATTAGGATCTACTCCGATAGCAACTATGGATTTTGCATGGTTTTGGAGTTTGCGCACGAGGAGGAGATTGGTGCCAGGACACCACCCCCACAAAATGTCACCGGACGGAATATGGACCATGGATCTTGCATTTAGTATCACAAGCACTTCCTGACGCGCTCAAAATTAGTTTAGGATTTGGTTGTTTTCTTAAGGGTTTTGATGGGTTTTGTATTATTCTTCTTGCGCAAGGCGCAAGGATTTCCAAGGAAAATTGCAGGACATTGGAAGGCAGCGCCTCCCCCCCAAGACCACGCAAACCGTGAAGAACGTCTATGTATAAGATTTACCCTCCGTAGATTAGATGGGTTCCTCCAAATTCAAGATTTTACCCAGCCTGAGGTGATCTACAAAAGGTAGGCTCAGCAAAGGCTCCTTCTGAGTGGCCTTCCAAAATGTATGCTCCAAGAGTTGGAATTGCCCCTTCCTTCCTTCCTTCCTTCCTTGTTTCCTTCCTTCCTTCCTTCCTTCCTTCCTTCCGACCACCAGAAGCAAAAGACACTGGCCGCTGCAAGCAGCATAGACTGACAATCCGGCCACTTGCAACAGCACTGGGTCTAGGAAACTGCCCACTGCAACAAAGAGCCAAAAGCCAAGAAGCCGAAAGCCAACAAGCCCAAAGCCAAGAGGCAAAAAGCCAAGAAGCAAAAAGCCAAGAAGCTCAAAGCCAAGAAGCAAGAAGCCTAGAGCCAGAACCACCAATAATGAGACAGCAGCACAATGCCACTCAGAAGCTCTGCCACGGTGACCCACGGTGCATATATATATATATATATAATGGTACTTGCCACACACACAAAAAACACACACACACACAATTTCTGACTGGGCATACTTAAGTTGAGTGAGGCAATTGTCTTCTGGTCCTGAATGGGCAGGGCTCGAGCTTACCTGTAGGCTTAGCTTATAGGATTCACCCGTTGCCCCTACGTGGTAGCCATACCACATCCTCCTTCGCCCACCTGGCATAGACTTGCCAGAAGGCGACGACAACGGGCACGCAGAGTGCTCAGGAGAGCGAAAAAGAAGAGGGCATATCGGAATCCCAAATTGCCGACAGCCCGAATCCTGCAAGCGAAAAGCTTGCTAGAGAGGCACCACTCAAGGCCTCGATACAGCATCGCTACAGCAACAAAGGCGATGACATGGGGGAAAAGCCGCAACTCGTGGAAAGAGACGAGTTGGACATGGGAAGACAGCAGAAAGCAGAAGCCAAAGAAGAACCAGAGTGTGTACCTCTACGACCAAGATGGCAAAAAGGTCGAGGTCAAGGCAGATGGGGAGTCTGGCTCATTATCTGGGCCTGCATCCTTGGAGGAGGGCTTGCGCAACGAGAACAAGCTCTTGAAGGAGGCTTTGAAGAAGATGAGCGATGGCGAAACCACAGCTGTCGACAATGCAGTCAAGGGGATGCTCAAAGCCAACCCCAGAGAAGAGCTCAAGGAAAAGCAAAAAGCCTTGAACCAGGAACGCAAAGCCCTGAACAAGACAGAACGTATCCGAGAAGAAATCGCCAAGAAGCAGAACAAGTTCAAAGGCTGGAAGGAGGGCATCCTAAGGGGGGTCGAGATGAAGAGCAAGGAGCATACAGAAGAAATAGCTCGCTTGACGGCAGAGCTGAAGGATGCCGAAACCGAGGCAGCCAACAACCCAGAGGGCGACAATGGCATGGATACGGACGAAGACAAGGGAGACTCAGAAGATGCAAGTCAAGAATTGGCCGAGCTGCGCCGCCAGATGGGGTTCTTCATCACCTACACTCAGGGGATGGAGCGGAGACAGCAGCAGATGGCAGACCAGATGACTGCATTGATGGGTCTGATCCAAGGACAGGCGGAGAATGGGACCCCTTTCACTCCGCAGCAGCCACTAAGGATCACCAGGTCACAGCCAAGGGAGAAGCGATCACCCAGATCGAGAACGCCACCCCAAGACGATGGCCTGATGGAAAAGACCAAGATTCAAGAAGATGGATATGGTGGACTCCTTCCAGACGAGGTTCTGGAGCAGAGTGCAATCGAGGAAGCTGTGATCAAACAGCAGCTGGAAGCCTTGCCTGGAGACATCCAGGAACGCATTTGGAAGACTTTCGAGGCCAGTGGGGAGGTCTGCAAGTCCTTTGTGCAGCTTCAGCCCCTTATCGAGAACGAGTTGAAAATCATGCCCAAGTTCGATCCCAAGAGCTTGGCAATGGCTTCATCGGACCTGCCGATCACAAATGGGTCGCCATATGGAAAGGCAGCGCGAGGCAAAACCAGGGCTGCTACTCCATACCAATCCCCTGGAAAGAAAAAGAACAAGAGTCCGCAGAATTCCCAGGAGAGAAAGAAGCAGAAGAAGGAAAAGCTCCAGGGAAAGAGTGGCACATGCCGCCTCGAGGACACCTTGGACTAGCAGTACTGAGTGCTAGTGATGGAATGCTGGATAGCTGCGCCAAATTTCAAGGCTGCAGTAAGCCAGGCAATACTTTGTTTCACCTAGATGGCCGACCCGAGTTTTTTCATCTGACGGGTGCCAGTTCATTTTTTTTGCCAGAATTGTCTGAGGGTTTTGCTGACCTAGGTCACCGATGTTTCGATGGGATTTTTTCTCCTCAGGAGTCCAGGTGTTTCGACACCGATGCTCGAGACATGCCTGATCTGGGCTGGCAATCTGAGACGTTGATTGCTCATGAACAGAACAGCAAAGCATCGAACAGTGACTCCGATCCAAGAGAGTGGATCGTGGCTGTGCCTAAGCTCGTCTCCTGGAAATGGGTCTTTTTCCAGTGCATGACTGTCGCATGGGCTATGATGACGGTGCGACTGATCCAGCTTGTTTGTACAGTGACAAGTAATGGATGCCGAAAGCATAGAATGATCAAGCAGCCCACTCAGCAAGAATGCCGAGACCTAGTCTGTCTGCTTTTAGGAAGTGGATGTTGGCCAGTGGCTTGTCTTGAATGCATACCGTATGGGACTAGGGAAACTTGGGGCATTGTCTTCCTTGTCTCATTTGTGAAGATCGTAGCAGTAGGGATA